AGGAATTGTTTTAAATTATAGTTAGTCTACCTAGCATATTTGAATAATCCAGTGTTGTGTTCTATGGAGTTGGTGCATAGGAGGTGTTTTTCTGTATCGGATTATTAATCCATTAAATGCATTATTCTGCTCTGGTATTTGAAAACCAAAAAATAATCAAGAATGTTACTCCTATATTGTATATTAAAAGATTTTGTATAGAAGTAATGCAATAGTTAGGGTACTTCGTAATCTTACCAGTCATTATTTTGTGCTTTGGAACATGGAGTATAATGATTCTTTTTGTAAGATATTTAAACAAAAAATACTTTTATGTTCTATATCTAAAAATCATTACATGAATGACAGGGATTACAAATGTTGGTCATATATGGGATGATTAAAAAAAGCCCTTTTGAAATATTACAAATAAATTATCTCGCTGGATTCAGAAATTCAACAAATGTAGTGTAAACTAATATTTCCTTTTCTTTTATTCTAAATAAATAAAGGACCAAATTCTCAAACCCCAGTCTGCAAGAGCTTGCAGGCCTGATGAATAATTCAGAAGTGTTTGAAGAATCGCTCAACACTTACTTGCATAAAACTCTTACCAAGTCGTTAGGGTTTTGCTAGCGTACTGAATTCAGGTTTCTGCACTAAGTGGTTTCTTGTATCTAGTATTATGTTAAACAAGAGAATTGCTACTTTTAACTGTAATTCAGTAGCTCAGTATAATTCAACTATAATTCAACTTAGTTCTCTTTATTGCACTATTAAGAAATTTTTAGTGTTTTAGAAAGAGAGTCATACCGTGTACAACTGGTATATCCCGAGTCTTTCTGTGGTACTCTTGAGAATATCTGTACAGCACACTGAGGGGTACCTTAGTATTTTTTTTAAATGGGATGCAGATGATACAACACATTAGAGAAATGGCTGTGAAGGCACTTGAGAACCTGAACACAGAAACAATATTAAACCCTTTCTTTGGCTTATGTGCTTGACTTCACAGATACTGCCTTTAATCGGATTACTTGCATGCCTAAATTTAAACATTCATCATCATAGCATTACATATTTTGGTGACCTCCTGAGATCTATTTGATGTGTGTTAGTTTCAAAGCCAGGAGCTTAGTGCTAAGGGAAAGGAGAAACGTTCTGAATCTCATTTGGGATAGGAAAACCGAAATGGGATGTTTTTTAGTGTCTTGTACAAAAAAATACTGAATCCTTTTAAGCAGGACAAAGTAAAGTGGTAAAATTTACTAGATCTTAGTTACGTGACTATTGTGTAATCATTCAACAGGGAAATTAAAATCTGCACATTATGGGTAGAGGAATTTATTTAACACAACTTTGTTTATTTACCCGAGAGGATTAAAAGGATTTGCTTTTCAGTAATTTACTAAAAATTGCAAATATTATTGTAATTGTTTTTGCTGCTAACAAAATGTTACACAGTAACACCCTACAGGAGCAAAGTCTGCTAGCTTTAGTGAGTGGAATTAAACGAAGATTTAAAAAAAGGCTTGTTTATGGACAAGATTCTTAAGCTGGGAGATGCATCATTTTGATAGAGTAGAGCAGTACTCTGAAATTAGGTTGGAGAACAAATTGGACTCTGAGACTCCTGTACAAGGGCAGTGTGTAAACCCGAAAGAAGAAACATCCCCTGTACAAGGTGAAGAACTGTATTCTGGAAATTCCATTTCTTTATTACAGAATAGGTCTGTCTGCCTTGACTTTAAAGTGGCGGCATCCCTGGACCAACTGCTCCAGCCAGTAAATGTATTGTACACACAGAGTGGTCAAAGAACATTAATGTTCCCTAAATCACTAGTTTCTCGCTAATGAGGCATACTTTGACGATGCGTCTCACTGGTATTAATAGTGAGACAGAGGGCAGTGACATAGTGAATAAGCTTTGTGAGTCTAATAAAAGTAATGGAATAGAAGCTTTAGGTTGAGTTAGTGGAGGAGGCTGCATCAAGAAATGAACCTTGACTCTCTCCCAAGGTCATATGCTCACCCAGTGCAGACCTCAGGAATTTCTGGAGTGTCACTTAGACCCTGTGCCTGTGGTGAAGAGCCTGGGTTTTTCGGCAAAGTGTTACAATGTCAGTGTCTTGGTATTATTCCTTGAAGTCCACATGCGTTCTGAGGAGACAGTTCCAATGTCTTCAAATGCTCTTGAAAGGGATCGGCAATTTATTTAAAATGCAGGTGAATATTGTGAAGGGGAGGAGCAACTCTAAGTGTGTAGATGTTCATTGGAGACTTTATGGTCATATATAGAGCCGCATTTGTATAGAAGATCTTGTCTTTAGGCGTTTAAGCACGGAAAAGGGTGGCGAATTAAATAAAAACCAAAATTATGCTTAGACACATTCTAAGCAATGTCTTGAGCAGCAGTTTTATGTGGTATTGGTTTATTTAATTGTGGTAAGCTCTGGGGTCAAGCTAACCATTAAAGCCCAGGATAATAGTAGTATGGAAAAATGCTTATTCTTAGTTTTCAACAATTCTTTAACATGGAAATTTTATTGCAGTCGTTGTCTCATATCTGAATTTCAGTTATCCTGTCTGCTGCAGTAGTATGTATTTGATAACTGGCATGCTTTTTGCCACTTTTCCAAACATTGAAGTAAGAGTCCCTATACTAAAAACATCGTCTACAGTCTAAGGATTTTTCTCTAGCAAGTGCACCCAAGTTACGGCATAAATTCAGTTCTTCATTTGGCTGCTAAACCCCTTCAAACCCTTGTTTTAGTGCACTCCTACATGGCAGATAGCACAGCTGAAAGTATAGGACAAGCCATATGGAGAACAGAGGAACTTTGCTTTACTTCATTTAAAGTCATAAATGCTAGCAAAGCAACACAAAGCACAGATGACTGGCCTTGTTTTCCTGAGTCTTAGGGGCTTCATTAACATTTATTTGAGCAATGGGAATTTTGCTGTGAATTTCAGTAGGAGTATAGTTATTTAACCAATTGGGAGCACTTGTATGCTAGCTATTGCATGATAATATTACTAATTGATAGTGAACTGTACTGAAAATACTAATTAACTAAGTCTTAACTAATCAGTTCTTCGTTATCAATGTGTATTTTAATCTGCGTTAAATAAATGGTATTGTCTTCCTAAAGCTCAGCAAAGACAAAATAGTAAGACTGTTAATCATGGGAAGGTTGTCCAGAGTACACAATGGGCACCTGTGGAGACTTCTTTAAATAGAAGACGAATGGAATAAACTGTCCCAGCAGAGTGCTCTAATACAGTCCCATTTTACTGAGAAGCCCACTGTTAATTCAAAGTATACTATTGTACGTTTACTATCTGCTTCTGTCCATTGATATTTCATTAACTGAATTGTAGCAGTTAAGCTACGCACTTTATCAGCAGTCCTTCTTTCTGCTGTTAGTTTGGTTACTCATTTACATTCAGGTTAGAGCGGGTCTTGGTCATCACTGCAAATTGGAAAGATGAGAATTCCCACTCTGGACCAAATCAACGATCTCTTCAGCTTCTGAGAGTAGCCAGTATAAGATGCTTCAAACAAAGGTGTGGAATATCCTGTAATGGGTAATTCAGAAAGAAAAAGCATGCAGGAGAGGATTTTTTAAAAATAGTTGGAGTTGAGCTAACATCAAAGCGTAAGGCTTAAGTAGTGTCTAGGGTCATGAGATACCCGTGGATTTTGAGTGCTATTTGTAATACGTGAAGCTTTTTGCTCTTAGTATGTTTCTTTCTGATGCATGGTTCTCATCTCTGATCCATTTCAAACACAGACACAGGTGCACAGACAGCAACAAGAAGAAATAAAATTATTTCTTTGAAATATTAGTTAAGTATATTCAAAATTCAGTATTAGCATCAGAGTGGGGAAGTATCTCTACAAGCTATTATGTCTTGCTATGCAGATAGGCCTCTGAATCTCAGTAGGCTTCTCAGCATTAGGCACTGTGAATGGATGCTTGCGTGTAGCCAGAGGAAAACATTTATTAACAGTGTTTAGCATAGCAGGCTTTGCTGACTGTGGAGTCACTCAGAGCGTGAATCGCAAGGTTTTATATAAGTCTCTTACGACTCTCTCTGCCGTTCCTCTGTTGCACTCAGCTGTGGGGAGCTGGGGATACCCAGGTACTGGGTACACATTGCTGACATCATTCCATCAGCTAATTGCATTATTTTAAAGTGTCTTTTGGATAAAACCTTACACAAGGGAGAGGATTGTGACTTGTGTAAGCCCCCCTCTCACAGCAAAGGATTTGGTGTTTGTTTCTGAACAAGGTTTTCCTTGTGACTCTCTGTAAACGTCAGCATTGCGTTCCCAAAGGAACCTGTGCCTATTTGACATTTTATGAATAATAATAATCTATTAATATCTATTAATAAATTAATAATGGGTTTGTGGGGTTTTTAATAGGCATTTAAAAACTGCTTCTTGAGCAAAGCAACTTCTCTGATAACTCTGGGAAGACTTACTCCATAAAACATGCTCTTGTACTCCTGATAAAAAGCTTACTTCAGTTGTCAGTGAAGTCCTTAACTTTTAGATGCTCTCCATAATTCCCTGCTTACTTGCTGCTGATTTTTTCCATGATGGTAGTCACAATTAAGTCCTCTTATATCGGTTTGCTTGTTAGCATTTTTTCTGTTCGTGTCCTGCCAGTGCCTTGATAGAGTCAGTCTTTCAACTCTTCATCACTGAAGGTGACTTCATCTAATTGCATATTTGAAGGACAACAAAACAAATCATTATTAAGAGACTGTCTTGTTTTGGGAGAGGATGTTTTGGCTTAGCCATTGTTTGGACTTTTACGAGGAGCAGGCGTGTGGGGACGGCGATGGAGATGGGGTTTTACTACCTTTTCTCTTTGATTAAGGCTGATGCCACGCTGCCGCTCTGCTTTTTATTTAGCTCTATGAATCCAAGCTGCTTTTCTGTCAGCTTCAACAGCAACATATAGTGCATCCCCCAACCAAGCAGGCAGCAGCCACTGTCTTGCAAGAATCTAGCAGCCTCAGAAGAGGCATTGCTCCCAAACCTTTTACTTCCTGGGGAAATGCTAGAGACACTTCCTTTTCTGCCTTGAGCTATGCTTCAAAATACGTTAAAAAAATGAGTCAGTTACAACTATTTTTATGAATGGCCTAGTTTTGTTGGCTGTTTCGGAGTCGTGCTCAAGAACATACCTCAGTTTGACTTGACTTCCATTTGGGACCACATTGTCTGGTTTCTTTTTATTGAAGCAGCTCACTAAATTGCCCAGGATTTAAATCAGTCTCCCTCTAGAACTGTAGGGATGTACCCATGGAATGCTGGTGCTTCCAGGAAAGTAGCTATCGGACGGGTTTTAAAAAAAATAAAATAAATAGTTTGTTTTAAGATCACAGCTTTAGACTTAGATGCTTAAATCTGCCTGCAGTATTTAGACAAAGTTTGTTTCTCTTTAATCTGACTGTTGGTGTTAATCTGGCCTAAACTTGCTCAAAAATATAAGAGTTTAGCAGGGTTTTACCTTGAATTAACACACCCTTTTCCTTCTCCGCTCCCCACAACCTTCTGCTGAAGACAAGACTACATAAAAGCAAGTTTTTATCTAAGCCATGTTTGGGGTTAATTGCTTGCATGCACGAGCTCAGACAGTGCTCTGTTGAGAGAAGAGGATGCTTGATGACTAAACACATCCATCTCTCTCCCAGACACATTGCTCTGCCTTCTGTGCTGCCTGCACAGGCAGGAGCATACAGGAAGAAGCGAGATGAAGGCTACTGGACCGAACTGGCAATGCAACCGGTGAGAAATTCTGCCAGTTGGCCACCAGGTGGTACTAGGGCTGCATTTGGGGAATTAAATCTCCCTTCAGTTCTGGTTTTAGCTTGAAAATAAAGCACAGTAAATTCTCTGCCCACACCCCAACAATCTGGGTAAATGCAGCCACCAACACTGCATTTGGAGATTAGCTGTATCAGCAGAACGGACCATTCAGGCAACGCATCACCTAGCTAATAAGCTCTTACTTTAGCAGTCAAGAACAATACTTGGAGCATGTTCATCTCCTGTCATCCCAGATCTTCATTGCCACCTTCTCATAATGTTCTGCTTTAATCTGAGGCTGCAGCTTCAGAACCAGCAAGTAGTAGCACTGTTAACTTTTTTTTTTTTTAAATAAACAAAACTAAGTTGCATGAATCGCCCTGTTTCTGTGGATTTCTGTTCCAATACTTTGCCCAGGCTACATCACTGCCGTTCCTTTGCAGACCCCTACTATCCTTTTATTGCTGGGCTGGGCAAAAGTCCACGTGCCCTGACTGTCCAGCCACCAGAACAAACAGAAGAGATAAGGGAAGGGCTACACTGTACACTCAGTTGATAAGAATGCTTATTTAGATTTGTCTTTACTATCTAGTTCCCAACAGTCAAATTTGTGGAGAGCCTTGTTGCTATTACCAAGTTTGGCCAAAAAGTTCTATATTCTGTGATTAGTTAGGTGGGAAAGAGGGCAGAAGGAAGACAGACAGCACCATGTGTACTTCGTATCCTTGTTGCCTTTCAAGATAAGGGCAGGACGCTTTTTGAATAGAAATAAGGATCTCCTCTATACACTAACTGAAGGATGCACAGCTTTCAAAAAAACCCCAGAAAGTAATGTGTGCCAGAGCTCCCATACTCCCAGAGTTAAATAATATTATAACATTTAAGGTAAATAAACTCTCTAAAGCTTTTGAATTTTATAAATTTTGAGGTGAAAAAGCGATAACTGACTTCTTGCACATCTGAAATTATTCCTCTGTGTTTGTACAACATGGATTATTCAGGAAAAAAATAAGGTTTTCATCCTAGGAACCTGAGAACCAAATGTTTTACTGAATATAGGATTCAGCTACACCCTTCCCTCTTAAGCCTACCATCTGTGAGAAGAGCCAACTGCCTTGCTTTTGGCATATGTTCTCACGCACATTCTTCTTCTGCTGTGTCCCTGCCATAAAACCCTCTTAGAAGTAACATTCCACAAAGACATGAAGGTTTTATGCTGTACTTGGTCACACATGTGACACTAGTTGCCTTTATTTTGTACCACCAAGAGAACTGACCCTGTTGGTAAGTGGAAGATGGCAGGCTGAGTCAAACAACGTCCAAGATTTACGACTTAGCTAGTGTAAGGATGCTGAGTTATACAAGGATAACCAGGAAAACTTTTCTTTCTGGGCAGAAGGAAAACAATTTTTAAAGAATTACTTGCTTGTTACTGAAAAATTTCAAGCATAGAAGAAAAAAGGAATTCTGTAAAGCTAAGGCTTCTATAGCAGCAGTCATGCACTCATTAGTATTCTATACTGGAAAATGTAGCTTCTCCGCATGCAAAATTAAGTTGGTTTTGGTTTTTTAATGAAGTTGGAAGTAATGGTTTTATGATACTCTTCCCATTTGCATGATTCTTGGAAGGATTACTCTAAACCTTATTACCCTAGTAGCCTGTTGAAGAGGAAGCTATCCTTCTTCCAAACTTACACTAACCAACACAAGAGAGCCACTGAAGTAATTCTGAAGCTTAAAAAAACCCCACCAAACCCAAAACCAACCACCACACACACCACCTTCCCCCACTTTGCTATAAGAAGATCAGCACACAGAGGAACTACTCTGCAATCTTTTCTGTATTTGAACTGGTGTAGCTAAAGGCCTTTATCTTTTTGCTAAATATTTAAAGCAGTTCAACGTGAGGAAGCTGTGTGAAAATTGCTTTTCTTTTTCATGACATCAAAATGTTTTTTTATTTCCTCCATGAGTAGTTTCTCAACTGAAATGGAGAAACAAATATCTACAGCAGTGTTAGTTCTGAACATTGGCATAAACCAGGTATGCTTGACTAAAAAGAGGGACAACTTGCTCTGAAAGTGCATTACAAAAATAGCATGTTCACACTCTCACCAGTGCTTAAAATTAAGATACCTGGATAGGCTGGAAGCAGGTTACAATCTAGTATTTTTGCCATGTAGACTTGTTCCTAACAAATCAAGGTTTACTGAGTCTGAATTGCTTACTGAGTTCTTTTCATGCAAGAAGCATGAGCTACATGAATTACACAGGTAATGGATTGTTTGGTATTATAATTTATTTGTATACAACCATCATGGACTCTGCCTCTGGGTACAGTAAGTTGAGTGCTGTGTGTTCTCTCAGACACAAGTCCTGTAATATTGTGGGACTATTTGAACTGATGAAAATGTGAATGAAGAAAAATACAATGACCTAGCAAATAGATTTTGGAAAAAAGAAATATCAGTCACAGCAGTTAACTGCAACAAGTACTTGGGTGGAGGTGGTAGCAGGCTGATTAGTCTCTAGCAGCTGGCTGGCTCATCTACTGCGTGAGCGCCTTCAACAACAGCTTTCACACACTTGGCCATTGTCTGGGATGCTCTGCTGATTGAATCTGGGGAAAAGAAAATCCAAACACATGTTAGTGTGTTTTAACTGTTCATTTTCAGAATTACACACAGGCACAATATAAAAAAAGATTTAGTACAGAACTGCATACAAAGAGGGTCAAGAAAATTGCTTAGTTGAAAGTATAGTCCAATAGTCTGTGCTTTATGCAAATTCCAGACAATCTTACTGGAAAATTTTGTTTCTTCAAAAGACTCAAATCCTACATATCTTAGTGGAAAGCTTTAAATGCCTCGTAAGAATCTTACTGTAAAGCCAAGTGAAATGTATTGCTTATGTAAGAATGGAAAGGACATACTATACATACCTGTCATATAAAAGTCTTTTATTGTGAGCTGAGGTGGAACAAGAGGATCAGCAAGAAGCTGTTGCTTCACTAACTGTGGCCGGGGTGGGGGCAGGAAAAAAAAAAAAAAAAAAAAAGTAGTGTTAACTTTATATAGGTACTTGTTACCAAAGCATTTGTTTAATGGATTCTGCATTCGGGGGCAGGTCAAAGGATCCTTGTACTACATATGAAGAAGGCCCATTTCTTTTAAAAAGCATCAGGCTATGTAACAGCACTAAATCATGCCCATATGCTTCTGTCTTGGTTACCTTTGACAATTCATTTGCCTGTTTGAAGTAGTTGGCCTCTTCCACATCATCGTATCGAACCAGATTAGGAGATACTTCTTCTAAACGCTTCCGTATTTGATCAAGGTTCTCATAAGGCAAAGTCATACCAGCCAACTAAGAGATTAACAGAAAGAAATGCCATCAAATCTAGGGATTTAATACATAGTGCTTTAGATTATCAATCCATTAACATACCTAAAGTAAAATCAGGAAAAATCTATACTCCTGAAAACATAGGCAGTTATAATGTACAAACTGAAGCAAAGTCACAGTATTCTGTTGGACTTCTGATGCCTGCAGTTAAGAACTCCCCATGTTAAAAACTAGGCTGTCCTCTTTGCTGTACAAAGGAAAAAAAGAGAAGACAAGAAGTACTTTCCTCCTTCCATACAGATGCCACCTTTACCTTCCCTAGCTTACCACCAAATGTGGTAAAAGTTGATGCAATTATTCATGCATCTTTTTCCCAGTGACTAGTAAGCACACATTTTATCTAATGATACCAGATCCTGTCCTCAGAGTTGATGCTGTTTTCTTTTTAGAAAGCAAGAACTGCGTCCTCCCACCATTTTCCTCTAAAGCGCTTCACGAAGATCAGCACAATTTGCAAAGCTTCACCCATTATGCATTCCAATAGCATACAGCAGCTACAATGTTAGTGCTATCCTCACAGAAGTAACAAAGGATTCAATACAAAACATTACTTCTTAAGAGTACAGCCATGCATTTCCCTGAAAATGTACCTCTTTTTTTGGAAACACTTTTCAATATGGAAGGAACTTAACCTCTTGGTATACTTTTAATAGATGCAATTTTTAAGAGCACCGATACCTCAGAGACAGCTCTAATAATTCTCCAGTCTTCCCTTGCCATCCCAGGAGGTGTTACTGCTACTCTTGTCTGCTGGGCCCTACCCTCAGTATTCACGTATGTGGCCGCCTTCTCTGTATATGCTGCTCCTGGGAGAATAATATCAGCCATGGGAGCCCCCACATCCCCATGATGTCCTAAATACATGGAAAGAGGAAACAGTATACAACCATGTTAAGACGCCAGTCAAAATAAAAATAAATGCTTTACTAACACAATACAGAATTTCTGTGTTCTCAGAAAAAAGGAATTTTGAAGATTCGCTTAACCAGTAATATAAGCGCTATTAGGCTGATGGTCTGAGGCTGACTTGCCTAATACTTTGGGGAGAATGAATGGACTACAAGCAGTAGTAAATGATAGCTCAGTCTTACTCAGCTTTGGGGGGGCTCCTGGAACACGGATGCTTATTGAATTAAGATAAGACCACGTTTTGGTATGATAGAACAGCTAGGAACCAACACCCTGTTGTCTGCCAGGCTTGAAACTATGCTCCAAAAGACCAAACTGGTTTATATTCCCTTATTACTCATCAACAGTTTCTCATTTTTATCTAAGAAATAGGTAACCAGTATCTCAGTTATGTGTTGAAAGTTCCATTTCTTGGCAGAAAATAAAGGCTAGAATTTATCAAAGGGTCATATCAAAGGTTTGTAAGAATATGCCACTGTTTAGGCTTTCTCTCCAGCTATTAGATAGCAACATTTCTTAATTTACATGTACTAATTACCTTGATAGATGATAAAACAGTCCTTTGGCAAATCCTGACGTGTTATACAACCTGAATCTGCTCCCAAGAGGTACAATACTTTGGGAGGATTTTTCCTAATTGCCTCCACTCCTGGTTTGAAACCCAGATCCAAAGCAGCTACCTGGCTTGCAACCCTGTAGGAACAAACACATTATGACTTTAAGTTATTTCAGAATTCTCCCTCTCCCATCAGAATAGACCTAACTTTTTTTTTTGACTAAATATTTAGGAGAGATATGAGGTCTCAAACAGTAACAGGACAAAAATGAAGCATAAAGGCAGGTGAAAATTTTGAGAGTATTTGACAGAGTATCAGGCTGGTTTCGCATTTTGACCAACTGACGTCATTTGAAGTTTTCACAGGAAATCTCACCTATTTAAGATGGCATAGCAAAAATAAAAGCAGATATTCCAGGTCAGGGCCTAGTGGCAGGCAGCTCACTTGTCATCTGGAACATCAAGGTTCACATTTCAGCTGTGAATTGAACCCAATAGGCCTTTAATGTAGGCCATGCACATGGAAGATGAAAGAAAGACCAGCTACTGGACCATCAGGTACTCTGAAGCATCTAAGACTTAAGACCACTATTTCATCACTGTTCATTTATTCACACATACTTTTAAAAGCATGAAATAATCACTCTTGTTTTCTGTCACTCTTTTTCTTTTCCAAAGAAACAGTTTTGCACAATCCTGCGTAATCAGGTGCCATATTTACAATTATATTTAAGAAAAAAAGATTCTCTGTAGAGTACACATCTTTCAGTGTTACTCATGTTTGTCTGACATAGTCAGACATACAGGGTCCAATAAGTTAAGTTGCTTTTTACACTTAAAGTAGAGATGATGGTGGACCAAAAGTATGAAAGTAATATGAAAGACTGCCAAACTACATGTAAAAAAGGTATCACGAGTGTTCTTTAACTCATCAATGTTTTGGTATTAAGCGTTTCAGTTTCAACAGCAAGATTTTATATTCAAGTTCCCTACAGAGGTCCAAGCCCTGCTCTTGCTATAGTAGTTTTGCATCAATGAAACTGCTTTTGGCAGAAGGACTTTGTTGAGTCTCTGAATCTGAACACCACTACATTTGCTGAAATAATTTTTCCTTTACAGAGGTTGTCAATTTGACAGAATTCTAGAAAGAGAGTGGGGAAGAACTGTCCCAAGAGAAGCTTACCTATTAAGAGGGATAATATCCCAATAAACTGAATAACTAAGAACAAAAGCCCTCAAATAAAAAGCTTTGAAGCTTTCCTGTCAACTACTCAGTTAAGAAACTGCACAGTAAAAGGATTATTGTAAGAAACCGTATTATTTAAATACTCTTCCCATTTTGTTCGTTTTACTTCCTCTAGATAAAAAGCAATCATTTAGCAAGTGACACTGGTCTGCTGTACATTCTACTGAGCACTGTGGTATGTTATTAAGCTCTCTTCTATTCTATACCTCTAAATTTAAACTTTAAATTCTACATTTACATGCAGTAGATTAATAAAATCTCATGGAGAGCCTGAAAAGCTTGCCAGGTCAAGGAACCCATTTTTATTAAAAAGTTTCTGCTAGTTTGTACCTCTATTTCTTACATTCCCTACAGGTTCTAACCTCGTAAGCCGCTTGTGTGTACACAACAAAATCTCCACACATACATTGTGGTAACTTGTATAGGCCCAGCATGAATGAAAGTGGCTCCCAAAAAAGCTTTAAAGCAAACCTGTGGAGGATGTTCATGACTTTCCAATCAGAACCAACACCACTCTTAGTCCTGGCATTTTGTGCAATGGTGGAAACGGCAGCATGGATAGCTGCTCCATCACTGCGCTGCAGTGCTGCACTACCTACCACCACCATGGGCTTTTTGGCCTGGTCGAGGACCTGTGCAAGTAAAGAACCAAGAAATTAATTCCAAGGCTCTGAAGACAGTTCTTGGTACAGATAATGTAATAAAATCCTGTAATTTCTACATAAGTCTTCCATGCAAAGGTACAGTTCTGACATGGTTATTGTTTCATTTAGAGGTAAAGCCAAGAGAAACTGCTGTAAGCAGTATGCTAACCAGTCAATACGGAACTATACTCTTGATAACCAGACATTTAAGTGGAAACAGCAGTGGCTGAAACAGCCTGTTTTATATCAAGAAATATTTCAGGAGTTTCCTGCATTGCAAAGTTTTACACACCTGAATATATTAAACAGTTCACACATACTTGATGCACACTGGGTCATTACCTCATCTCAGAATTTGATTAAAAGCAAATAACCTCATATACAACCTGGTATTTCTCTTCAAATCTCTCTGTGGGGAATTCATATTATTATTCAATAAATCTGAAATTTAACAGTCACACTCTGAAGTTGTGTGTACCTTGGAGAATGCATGTTTTCCAGAAGCAATGTCCTGAAGTATCTGTGGGGACTCTCCTAGATGATCATATGTGTAAGTCAAATTCACAGAAGAGCCAACAAGGGCCACTTGCAAGTCATTGTGAAGCCAGCTGAAAACACAGCAAACATTTTATAAAAATCAAAGAAATACAGAGTGTTACTCAACCAAAGCCACTAATTATAATTTTAGCAATAATTTGCAATAGGATGCAAATTCTTTCAAAGGAATTTAAACGGCATTCATTGTTTTGGTAACATGCAGTTTAACATTATTCCGACTGTTAAACAAGCTTAAGTTTTTTTTAGGACTGTTTCTCTATGTATACTCTAGGACCAGTACAGCAATACACCTTACAAAAGAAGTTCATAGCTTAATTTCCCTCTCCCCTCAAACTTTCGCCAATTCAGTGGAAAAAAAAGTTGCACAAAATGAGGTGCTACAACTTTAAACCATCTTTTCCAGTGTTAGGCAAAACCAAACCAAACAAAAAAACCCCACACCTACAGCTACTATTAAGTTTATTTAGCTTAACTATTAAGTCACTTCAGAATTAAGTCACTTCAGAATTTAAGTTAAAAGTCATTTGTAGGAGGAAAGAATTTCTTGTGTCAGAAACAGCATGGCCAGCAGGACTAGGGAAGTGGCAGTGGTGAGGCCACACCTCAAATACTGGGTTCAGTTTTGGGCCCCTCACTACAAGAAAGACGTTGCGTTGCTGGAGCGTGTCCAGGGAGGGGCAATGAAGCTGGTGAGGGGTCTGGAGCACAAGTCTTATGAGGAGCGGCTGAGGGAACTTGGGCTGTTTAGTCTGGAGAAGAGGAGGCTGAGGGGAGACCTTATCACTCTCTACAACTGCCTGAAAAGAGGCTGTAGTGAGGTGGGCGTCAGTCTCTTCTCCCAAGTAACAGAGCCAATAGAACAAGAGGAAAATGGCCTCAAGTTGCGCCAGGGAAGGTTTAGATTGGACATCAGGAAAAATTTCTTCACGGAAAGGGTTGACAAGCATTGGAACAGGCTGGCCAAGGAAGTGGTTGAGTCTCTATCCCTGGATGTATTTAAAAGACGGGTAGATGTGGTGGTTAGGGACATGGTTTAGTAGTGGGATGGCAGGTTTAGGTTAACAGTTGGACTCTACAATCTTAAAGGTCTTTTCCAACCTAAATGATTCTATGAATTTGACAGTGCTCACAGTTTTAGAAATCCAGTATTTCTTACATAAATGGAGAAAAATTCAGCTGGTTAGAAATTTTTCCTTTTTTGCAGCTTCTCATAGCACAAACTTATAAAAATATATGAATAATTCATAAATTTAATTGCTTTTTTTCCTCTCAAAATTGTAAGGCCACTATGGTTTAAAATTATGTATTTTGGAGATCCCAGCATTAAGAAGGACAGGGCTTTTATAAACTTCAGTTGTCTCCTGCTGACATATCTTGTTGGTAGCTATGTTCAAAAGTTTGCAAAAGCCACATTACTTGCCAAAGAAAATGTTAAAATTCAATGACAGCTTCTAAAATCAGCAAGTCTGATTTGTCACAGCAATACAAAAAGCAGAAAACCAATGCTGAAAAGGATTCTTTAAGGAATATGCTTTAACAAACTTCTGTAAGACAGGAAGTCTGAGGTGTCTGTGCAATGTAATAAATGAATAATTGTCCAAGTATGTGAACTTACATAAAATGTCAAAGTGAGAATGAACAAAACATAGTTATATACTACAGGGAGAAGAGAACCCCTTTTTCTACACGTGTATCGCCAAATCCAGTGAGTCCATCTGGATGAACGCTCTCAACTTACTGCCTGCATCTCCATCTGAGCATTTTATCAAATCCAGATGGATTTTTTTGCGTGCTTATTCACCACCAAGGAATACAGACCTCTTTCGAATTCTAGCATTGAAAAGCGGTGCCTCAAAGCGTGGGTTGGTGCCAACCAGAAGCAGGACATCTGCCTCCTCCACTCCAGCAATCTTGGTATTAAGCAGGTAGTTAGAGCGTAAATCTGTGCTGTAACAAAAAGATTTAATAAAGTAAGAGGATGAGAATTCAGGAAAGGGAAGGAATGAAGATGTGGTAAAGATTCTAGATGCTCAAAATATTTTTCTATCTCTGGAGGAGAAAGGGGAAGAAGAGATTTCTCAATTCACATTACTAACCCAAATAAAAAGTAAGAGTTTTTCTCTCTCATGAGTATCAGAGACAGAAAAACATTAAAGGAATTATAGTGTGGATACTTCCTACATTTACAGTTATTTTCCGCCTTCACAAACTTAGTCTGCTAGTTTACAAGGTCATAATTGTACTATAGTTTTCACAACACAAATAGACAAAATTATCCAACTTACAACTGACTTTCAGTAGTCTACTGTTAAACTGCAGCAGCCTCGACAGTAAAGTGTGCAACCCTTCCTGTGAGACTATGTATGAATGTGAATTCATAAATACTCTCTATAAATGAACACTGTAAATTCAAACAAAACCTCCTAACGCATCAGCAATTGTTATCCTTGGTCATTTCAAAATCTTACCATGAAATGACTTGCAGACAGGAAAGTTTATCAACATACTAACTACAGTATTGCCTCAACTCTTACCCAGCTCCAGCAGTAGGGAAGACCTCTTCGGTGCAGAGCGTATCACAGTTTACTCTATTCAATAAGTCTTTCAGAGCTATTAGCGCTTCTGCATCCACCAGTCCTCCTACAATTGCTGCTACTTCCTCACCTTTCACAGCCTGTAGCTGGAAAGAGAGAAAGTATAAACATAAGCAAAAGAAACCATTGAAATAAATTCCCATTTGGCCCAGGTAAATGTTTGTTACATTGGGATGTGCCAAAGCCAGCAGCACAATCCACTGGCCTGGAGTAGCACAAACCGATCAGCAGTGTCTGACTCTGTAAGGCAGCAAATCCAGCCCCTTCAGAACTCATGATAACCAAAAAACAGCTCTCTGTATTCTGTGTGAGTCTCTCCCACTTGAGTTATTGCTCAGATGTGGCTAATTCTCATTTGGTGTGGTGAGGAGAGGAAGACTGGTGAATGCTTTTATTTTAACAAAGCTACAATGCAAACAGAATACAAACTTCCGTAATACAAGCTCAGGTAGTAAACTCAACTCAAAGGTATTATCTGAGAAGCAATAGCTTTTCTAACAAATCCTGCTACTGTACCATAGGCAAAAACATGCATGAGGAAAAGTTCCATTACAGTTTTTCAATTCTACTTTGTCCTACATACAATTTTTAATCAAAATCCAGAGCAGCCATGCAGCACTTCATTTGAGCAGCAGAATCAATCACCACACAGAGAAAGCACCAAGGCAAGGACAATTCAGATATAAGTAATACAGAATTAATGGCTTTGATGGCAAAAGTGGTGATAGCACAGTTTAAATAAATTTAAAGAAGTCTTCAGCTAGATCAGAGTAATTCAGGGAAGTTGTTTCCTCCTAGGTACTGAAGGTACAGCTTAGTTTCCTATTTAAATAAAAGTAATGCCCCAAATGAAATCATGATACAGCAAAGTTCTTCAGATGGTCTAATCCATGAAACAGCAAATAATATTAAAAAGACGACATTTAAGTGGAAATACAACAGATTAGAAGGCAAATGCTCCTCTCTAGCCTTAAAGAAAAAAATCCCTTTTCTATATGACTGTTTTCATATTGATCATTGTAATATGTCCAGCTTTAGAAATTAATTTTACACTACATATAGTGAAAATTGTTCTTACCACACCAGCAACACGAGTTAATACATCCTCCCATGAGGCATAAACAAATAATCCTTTCTCATTTTTGATCATTGGCTGAGTAAGTCTCTGACGCTTCAGACCATCATAAGCAAACCTAAGTGAACACCACTAATATTATTAAAGAGCAAACACGAAGATAATTGTGCATGTTAAATATTTTCTAAGACTGAGTTTTCTAACAGCTTGCAATGATTAGAAAAGAGAAGCACAAGAAATATTTCCACTGAAAGTTTAACTTTCCCTTCTCAAAAACAAGCAAAAAATCTGATACAGATAAAAAGTTACTGTAAAGAAAAAGGCTACAAAAATTAAAACATTAGAAAACTCAGTAACTTCAACTACAGTATTAAAAACATGTTTTACCAATTATTCTTCACTATAGCTTTACAATATTAACAGTGGAATCCAGAAGTCAGATTACTGTCCACATTTCTGGTTCTGCAAAGTGTACCTTTAATGGGTGCGTAAGCATGCATGTGGATACAAACACCTCCCACACACCTTGTTTTGTCAGATATCCATTCCTCGTTGATATCTTCATGCAGCCTTGGCAAAATTCTCATCACTTCTCCAGTTCTCGTGCTCACTACGATGTTGCTTCCAACTGCATCAAGAACATCAATTGACTCTACCTTCCTGTTCAGAAGAACAAATAAACCATTTGCAGTTTTCTATATAAAAGCAGCAGACTGCATAACAAAGGAAACAGCAAAAATAAAGTGCTGTACGTTTAGCTTTAGATATACATATAAGGGCTTAGTTTCACAAGATATTTTAAATAATATCCTCAACAATTACTGAGTTAATGAATTTGAATTTTCCTGTATACATATTTTTTTACTGAGCAATCAACACAATCTACAAGTCCAAAGCATTTTACAGTAAAAATAAGGGAAGAGTAGTCTACAAATGGTAATATTCTTCCTTTGCTTGAATGAGCTGTGAGTAAATAACAGAATTTGTGTTAGATTCAGTCTATGGAGAAGTCTACAACAAAACCACAGAGAATAAAGATCAGAGAAAACCCTCGGTATCATAGATGGACATATTCTAAGATAAAGTGTATGATGGAAACAGAAAAAGCTGCATCTTCAGTATGAGTTAAGATACATACCTTGTCTCCCATGGGCGTGCAGTAAAGGCATATGGCTTGGAGGTAAGAGCACCAACTGGGCAGATGTCAATTATATTTCCTGATAACTCAGACATGAACATTTTTTCAACGTAAGTACCAACTTGCATATCATTTCCTCTTCCAGTTGTTCCCAAGTCATCTACCCCTGCAACCTCACTAGCAAACCTGGTAGATGCAAAAAGAACAAAAAACAAATCTGGAATGTACAACAGCAACATAGCACATTTTTCAACCCTTATCTTATTTTCCTAAGGCAAATCATTAGCCTTAGTTCATACACCTGAAAGAAGAAAACAGTTGTTTAGATGCATTAATCTGTGCCATCACATACAGGACTATACATTTGCAGAATTTCATTCAGACAGGACTACAAAAACTAGGTAGAATTAAATGAAAAAACAGAGCAGTTCAGCGCTCATTGAATTTCACAGTCTGAACCCAAGATTACTCCTAGCAAACAAGTTCCTTCTAGAACCAGGCGGGTACATTGTATTGTTTTCCATCTGTCTCAAGTTCGCTGGCACTGAATCTCAGGACTGCAGAACAGCATAAATACAGCTACCAGAGGTTGTCAAGAATAAATAAATCTTGCTGCTGTGGTTGAGGAAGTCACTTAATGTTTTAAAAACCATTCTGGCAGTAATGTCACGGGACCAGTTCTGCCCTGCAGAATTCAGATTTCACCTTCATGTTTTGGCCATCTCCCTCTATTTCCTGCATGACAGCTGTCTGGTAGCTCTGGGAAACTAGTCCCTACCAGAAGTAAAATTCTTAAGTACAGTCAGAAAAGAAGTAAAAAAAATTGACTGCCTCTCACAGTGTTTATTTCACAAGTAACAAACTGACATAAATACACCTGCTCTGTACTCTCTCCAGTGAAAAATAAAGGACATTACCTGATACATCGAGTGCACTGTATACACCGAGTCATGATTGTTTTGACTAACGGGCCAATGTTCTTGTCCTCCACAGCACGCTTTCCCTCTCTAAATCTACTCCTATCACTGCCAAACATCATCGATTGATCCTAGAACAGACAACAGAAAACAGACATATCCAGGCTGCCAGAAAGCACAATTTTACCTAAGACAAAAGTATTAATACACAAGTCTACACAATGTAATTGGATGTTGTACCTGTAGATCACATTCTCCACCCTGATCACAGATAGGACAGTCCAATGGGTGATTTGCCAGCAGGAACTCCATTACACCCTCTCTGTTGGGTTCAGGAATTAAAGTTAATGTCAACTTTACATCATTTAGCAGATAGTACAGCTGATCAGCTATAGGAAGCTAAAAGAAAGGTACCTTGCTTTCCTGGACTTCTCAGAGTTTGTCAGTATGTTCCAGCCCTTCATAACTGGCATGGCACAAGCAGCAACTGGCTGCAATCATCATAAAAAGGCAAGCATGAACACAACATATTTCTTCTCAAAATGGGCACAAACCCCAAACTCCTGCTTCCCCCCCCCCAAAGACATGTTACTAATTTAGCATGTTGTAGAAATAAAAAGGTACCTGCAAAGGGAAAAAAAAAGAAGAAAATCTAACCAATAAAGACACTAGAAGCCATATTTATTAATAATCTGCTATATAAAAAGGTTAATTAGTTGTGATTTATTAATTTTTAAAGTTGAAAAATTTACACTTTTGGGCTCCAATTCAAGTAGTTAATAGGAAGAAGAAAGTCAGTTGTAACAGACATAAGGCAAATCAAAGAGATTCAGCAGAGATCTGGAAAACCTCTAGAACCAAAGCTCAAAGTATGAATAATTTTAGACATTCATTTGGACAAAGCCTATACAGAGAGTCTTGGAATAGACATTTTCACAAGATGACTGCAAAATTAACAAAAACTCCTGCTCAGAAAACTAATCCTTCCTACTTTGCAATTACGTCATAAGATAGATCATCGTGACTTCCATCTTTAGTAACATGCCAACATTCCCAGAGACACAAAGCTCAAACCATGGAATTCAAGTTGAGGTGAGCTAAGGAGTTTTATATGTGAATATAAATGTCTAATACAAGACATAACTCCAAAAGAATGCCTCAACTATCTGCACCAGATTTCTTAATACTGCTGAAGACAGCCTTTGATCCTGAAGTCAATTACTGTTTTACAACAGACATGAATGGTACATAATGCTTTTAAATATAAACTAATAAGTAACCGCAATCTCTACTTAGAACAAACCTGCTAACAATAATCCTGCACCCGAATTCATACAGTATCTGAAGTTTACTATTTGTGCAATATCAGCTGAAAATGAGCAGTTGAAGCCTGAATTACAGAAAATAAAAATATATCTGACTGAAAATGCACACCTATCAAATGCTCACGTCCAGAAGCAAGATAATCCGTAGAAGCCTGAGAACTAACTTTAATCCATAGGCAATCACTGCGGGCCAGTGGGAAGAAGGGAAAAACCTGCTTCCAGCAGCTGAATGCAACAGTGTGTGCTAATGATACCACAAGCAATTATTTACAAGATTTAAACTAGGCCCTAAGCACAGCAGAAAATTGTAATTCCTATGAAACAATACCTTGGGAGCTTTCTCTATTTCCACAAGACACATCCTACAGTTTCCAGCAACAGAGAGACGATCATGGTAACAAAAACGAGGTATCTGAATTCCAGCTTTTTCACAGGCCTATAAAGAATAAGAAACAAAGAAAAATTAAATTTCAGTTAGACCTTCCAGTTCCACCTCTTAAAACAGTATTCAGTTTTTCAAAGAATAACAGGCTTAGTGCTCTGGAATATAATGCATTCAACCTTTCATCTTAAGAAGTGACTGTAAATAAAAAATAGTGATCAAGCAGAAACATGTCAGGTTATCAAATACAAATATATTTTTTCCAAAATTTGTAACTGATTGAAGAAATGAGAACTGACCTCTCTTTCATTCTTTCCTCCAAGAACAGAGAGAATTCTCTCTCATAGATAGGACACTAGCAATAAAAATAACTTTTTAGAAAAAGCATGCACTATTTAAAGAGAAGTGCATAAAAGAGGACAATTTGAAAATTCTAAAGGAAACAACAATGGGCACAACGACTTCTGATAATTTAACAACATGGATACTCTCTATAAAGGCACTGGAGGATAGTCAATCTGCAACTTCAGTAGAACCCCAAACTCAGAAACATCCTTCCATGACATGCCTGAAGAAGAGGTAGAAGGACAGAGATGACAGATTTCCAATGAACAGATGAAGATGGCCTTTCCTGCACAAAATCCCTATGGCTGATGGGATCTATGCCATAGTGCTAACTATGCCTGCCAGAACAAACACCACTGAAATCAATAAAAAAACAAAACTAACAAGATCTAATTTTTCTGATGCAAAGGATCAGCATTCTGAATCATAAGAACTAATAACCAAAAGGAGACAATCCCTAATTTACCTGAGACACCCCTTTAATAAGATACAAAATTAACAGGTTCTGAGTTCAGAGCCAGAATTTGTCAAAGTCTGTTATTGCATTGCATAAATCTTTGCAGCTGGGATTGAAGCTGCATGCATCTTCTTCCAGGCAATCATGGCAGATGCTCCTTTTTCAAACAGTGAACTGTCCACAGGATTTCTACCATGTGAAATTGTATCACAGTCAGTGAAAACACCCCTAAAGAATTGCAAAAAACAATGCAAAGGGGATTTTTTTGACATAGAGAATAGAACAGGCTGCCCAGAAGTGATCTGGGGAGTCCAAGACAAATTCAGGATGCCACTCCCCACACCTGAAGTACTGTGGTTCCTGGGTTCACCAATACAGGATGACCATCCACAAACACCTCTATTTGGTTGCTGGCTGCTGTTGCAGTTGTACGTCCTGAGAGACATGGAAAAGAAAGAAAACAAAACCCAAAACTTTCAGTTACTGCTAGATGCAAACCATCAAACCTCACGCTCCTTATCTTCACAGTTAAAACAGTACTGATACAATTCCAGTTCTATAAACAGCACAACATAGAATTCCATAACTGCAAATGAAGTATGTATGCGTGCCCTTCAGTAAGTCAATTACACATACGTTAGCTATACCACCATCTACAGAAGCGTAAACAAGAGACACTTACCACACACTTTGGAGGACTGGGCGACCCCAACTAGGGTTCTGCGGAGTGCAGGTAGTCGAAACATGGTGCTTTGGTAAGAAAGAAAACAGCACTGAGTTTTTATTAGTTTAAACGTTTGCTGACAGGTTTTAAAACAGGCAGTGGAAAAACTTCTGTACCAGCTGCAAAAAAACGTATATAGGTGCCTATAAGTACAGAGGAAGAAGCAGCTGCTTTCTTAAACTACAAGACGTGGCTCTCCTTTCATAAATACCTATACTTCATATACGTATGTCACCTTACAGCAACAACGGTGCAGGTCACGACGACAAACAGCTGGCAGCCTAGCTCAAGCCGCCGGCTCTGCAAGAGCGGCCAGCAGGACGGGCGAAGGCAGAGCAGCGGTCGGGAACGGGC